GGGGCAAGAACCGCCCGCGGTCCTTCACGCACCCCACGTGCACCCTGCCCTCCAAGTTTGGCGCCAACTTCCAGAGGATGGTCGCCCTGCAGAACCAGTACGACCCGGCCCGCGTCTTCGAGCCCACCCTGTGGACCGTGGCGGCCGGCGGCCAGTCGTACGTTCTCAAGCCCAAGTGCGTCCTGGACCGCAGCTGCTTCTGCCAGGACGACACGCACTGCGCGGACGGCTTCACCTGCATTCCCAGCGCGGCCTTCCCGCAGTTCAAGGCCTGCTTCCCCCTCAAGTCCTAGACATAGTGCCAGACTCGAGGCGATGGCAATAACTTGTTCCTGCTACCCCGCAACGAGCCTTGCTTGTACCGCTGCTTCAGTTACGACCTATGAATGAGTTACGGCCGGGGATGCGACACGACGGCGGCTGTCGCAGGTGGTCTGCGTTGAGTGCCCGCCCTTGCTGGCATACGCGCCCCATGCTTTGCCTTATTACACCGTAGTGTTGAATACCTTCAAGACGTACAACATCACAAGCACTGCCATCTGCTGCACTCGTGCAGCCCCAGTCCCTTCACAGATCATCTGAATCCGCACCACCAAGCGCTCATTGCCGCACAGCCCTTGCTGCTGCCCTCGCCTGTGACCAGCCAACCCAGCAACCGGCTGTAACGACCAGGTTTTGCGCAGTTCAGAGGCAGGTCACGTTAAGTCTTGGTTCAGGGGCGGCAACGTCCTAGCAGGGGCAGATGGAGGCGCCGCGGCGCCATGCGCCTGTTGTGTGCTGCGTGATCGCGCGCGGTCAGAGCGACATTCAGGCCTGTCGGTTGCACCTTGACGTTTGCAGGGCGGACGGGAATGCTGTGAGGACCCAGGGGCCAGAGCCAGGGCTTGGAGGGCTTGTGCGCTGCGCGCGCAGGCATGGGTGTGGGTTGATAGGGGTGTCAGCAGGTGCAGGCCAATGAGGAACAGGTCATCAGCCGGGGGCAGGCCGAGTTTTCAGCGCTCCAAAGCAGCACTGGCGGCATCTCCCCCCAGAAAATCAGGCGTCCGTCAGAGTCCCGAGTGTGAATTTTGAGCGATCAGGCGCCGCCGCTCCTGTTGACCGGCGGGCCCGGCCGGCGGCGCCTCGTCAGAGGGCGCGCGCGCGGCGGCCGCAGCGGCGGGCGGCGGGCGCGTTCCCATGCACGTCTTACTCATCACTGGACGGCCCCCTGCTGCGCAATCAAGGCGCAGCACACACACCACGGACACCGCAGGCACGTCAACTCTCCACTCCCCAGCCCTGGATGAGTCACAAACTTTAATGACCTCGCGTTCCCTCAGAATAAGCTCTGGGACACTCACCCAGCTGCAGCCACGCTGTGCCTCCGCCTCAGGGTCCACATTGTCGCCGGCCGCTGCGCCTGCCTCAGAGGAGGGCGGCCAGGGGGCTGCTGCCGCAGGATGCCAGGCGCCGGGGGCCGCCTCAAGCCGCACACGCCTCGAGCGCGCACTGCAGCGCGGCCTGATCCAGCCGCCGCCCAATCACTACCAGACGCGTCGCGCGGCCCACAATTCGCCCCGACGAGCCCCCGCCGCCGCCGCCGCCACCGCCACCGCCAACGGGGCCGGGGCGCCTGCGCTGCTCCTCCTGGCGCAGGCGTGCGTCCTCTGCCCACTGCTGCTCCATGCGGCTCCACTGGGGGCCCTCCACTATGTCATACACTTCATACACAGCCTGAAACGCAGGGCAACGCAATGTTTGTAATTGCGCTATTTCAATGCATCGATCGCAGGTGCGGCGGCAGCCGTCCAGGGACGGGCGCAGGAGCGCCCCTGCCTCGCCTCCCGGCCATTTAGGGCTTTTCGCAGCAGGGCACCCACACCCCGCGCCTCCCTCGCCAAAATCACCACCCCCATTTGCGCGCACCTGCACCATGTGCGCGTTGGCGCTGCCCGCGACATCCACCAGCCCCTTGAGCCTCAGGACCTCGGGGCCACCACCACCGCCGCCGCCACCGCCGCCGCCGCTGCTGTCAGCTGCTTCGCTGGGCCGCTGCTGCCCATGGCCGCGATCCCCTTCGCCCCGCTGCTGCTCCCCGCCGTCGCCGTCGCCTTCGGCACCACCACCATCGCCGCCGCCAGCCGCGCCGCCCCTGGCCCAGAGGAGGCCCTCCACCCAGGCGGTGAACGCGCCCAGCGCCACAGGCGCCTCGCAGCGCAGCGCCACCGTCCGGATCGACGCGTCGTGGGATGCGCACGGCGCCGCAGCCGCCGCGCCGCCGTCGGCGCCTTGATTGCCGTCATGGCCATGGCCGTGGCCGCGGCGGCTGTGATCGTGGGAAGGGTCCGAGCAGCTCTCGCCTGCGCACCCGCCACCGGCCGCCCCGGCGGCGGCCGCGCCCCACCCCGCCGCCAGGCTCGCCAGGTCAGCGCCGCCCCCGCCGCCGCCCCCGCTAGCCCAGCCGCCGGGCCGCGCCAGCAACGGCGCGCCACTGGCGTCGCGCAGCCGGTAGCCGCCGCAGCCAAACAGGATGGCGGGGTCGACGGCGCTGCGCGCGCAGCGCACGAGGCGCGCGGTGGCGTTGATGCCCGCCAGGCGCGCCTCAGCTGCTGCCAGGTGCTGCTGGGAGACCAGGTCGATCTGGTACAGGGGTGAATTTTATGATTCAATGGCAGAACAGGGAGTGAACGGGACGGCAGGGGACGCTCGATAGCGCAGTGCCAGACCAAGAGAGCCGTGCAAGGCGATGGCTGCAGACAGCGGGTGCGGGTGCACACTGCAGCGTCACGGCTGCGCGACCCCTGAGGCTCGCACCCGCGGGGCCCTCGCCGCTCAGCTACGGCGGCAGCCGCCTAACACCGGCATCTGCGCCCCTCTGCCCCTGCGCCTTCCCTGCAGCACACCGTACGCTGTACGCGTCATCATGACGTCATCGTGACATCATCACGGGCCCACCCGCCCACCTTGTTGACGAGCACCACGTCGGCCATCGCGACCTGCAGCTGCGCCTCGTTGGGCGCGCCGCCCGCGCGCGCGTCCGCCAGCTGGCGCGCCACGTTGGCCGCGTCAACCACCGTCACCACGCCGTCCAGGGTGACGCTGGGCTCCAGCTCCTCGTCACTCCACAGCTCGCCTGGTGTGGATGTGGGGGTGCGTGAGAGAGTGGGGATGTGCATAAGGGGGGTATGTGATGGGAGAGTGGGTGGGGGTGTGCTTGGGCAGTGCATGCATGCGTGGGTGCAGGCGCATGTTTGAGGTGTGGTGGGAGAGTGCATGGCCGCATGAGTACAGCATGGGCGCATGTGTGAAGTTGTGTGATGCCGTGCGCGTACTTTGGGGGGGGGCACACCGCCGCTCAGCTTTGCGTGCGCCGCGGCCCGCGGGCGCGCACCTATGATGGGGCCGGGGTCTGCCAGGCCCGTGGTCTCTATGAGGACGGCCTCAAACCTGCCCTCATGAGCGGACCCGGGCGCCACCAGCGCCTCCAGCGCCTGTGGTTGTTCAAATTGTGCTGTGGGGCGGCTGTGACGGTGGTGCGACAGCTGGTGAGGGGGATGCTCGGCAAAGTTGCCAGCAAGGGAAGGTGGGGGAAATCGGGAGGAGCTGGTAGCCTGGGATTGCTGGGTGTGTGGCGACGCGTGCCGCAAAACGCAGCCCCGCTGCGCACTGCGCCGCGCCCGTCATGCCAGGTCATCAACTCAGCCGACCCGTTTGTCCAAACGAGATGTACGCGCACGCGCGCGCCTGTAAGAACTCCGCCTTCACGCTGCAGCAGAGACAGCCGTTCGCAAGCTCCACCCACTGCGGCACCGCCGAAGCCGCGCCAGCCTCGTCCTGCACGAACGCGCGCTCGATGTCGCCCTCCCCCCCAAACTCGTTGAGGATGACGGCGATGCGGCGGCCGTGCCTGGCGGTGAGGATGTGGCGCACGAGGGTGGTCTGCGGGGGCAGGGGCCGAAGGGAAGGGTGCGGCGGGGACGGATG